ATGGACTGCTCGCTTGACAAATAAGGGAATCCAACTTGTGAGACCTTCTTTTCTCTTAATAATGGGCTACTAACTGATAACTTACGACTTTCTATACATAAGCGGATCTGGAATATGAGGTTTCACTTCTTTTTAGGTCGGGATAAGGCCAACTCCATTTCCTGGGTGAGCTTCTTTTGTTTCTTTTGTTTTTATTGTTTCAATTTATGCAAGCGCCTTAAATTCCTATCGTCTGAACTGTTCCAACTTCCAAAACATTTACAAGTCGAGTTCAAACAACGAAGAAAAAAAAGAAACTCACCTAGGAACCAAAACACTAATCATTTTACGCAACATCAACAGGTGAAAACTTTATAACCTCATGTATAAGCTCGACGAATGAAAAAAGAAACAATAAAAACCTACCCTAAATGAAGCTCTCACGCTTTTTGCTCATTTCTATCCTGAATCAAGAAAGAAAATAGAAAACAAAAGCCATTAAGATGGGTTCACCTTTCTTTGTGTCAAACCAAGCTTCAGTATCTAAGAAAATTGCAGTTAAAGGAAAAAAGCATGAAATTGAGTCGCTTCTTCCCAAAAGCCTTCGGAGCGCAAGTAATAGCGTTGGGGCGCGCTCTGCCATGTACCGACGATCGCGGCGATCGCCGAGGTCGCCGCGATCGCGCTGCTGTCGCGAAGTATGAACGCTGCTTTACGCAAATTTTGAGCGCATCTTAGCTTTGTCCATTAAGTTTCCTCTAGATTGCATATTTGAGAGGAAATCAGTGTTAACCGGAATTGAATTCATTTACGAAGTAAGCCCAGTGTTGGCAAATATACCTGTGAAGCAAATCGAAAGTCCCCCTTCCGCTAATAGTTAATTATCATGGTTAAATAGATCATCAGGGGAATAAATATCAGTCCTCAGACCACTAATATCAGACTGCGAAATGTTCACAATAGAGACATTCGACGAGTTTTGATCGCATAGTGCTTTATGTAGTCAATCCTTTCCTGGAGTACTATGGGGAACTACCAATTATCACGCAAAGGAAATATTTATTAGTCAATCATACTACGAGTGACTACACATTCTGTTTGGGATTAAACGGCATGAGGCTTTTCGAGAAGTCAGACGACGCCTAGATAAATCGGAGAAACGATTAAAAGAGTCATATATCGCCTCAGAAATCGTCAAACGCTGAAGATTCGGCACGTCCGGCGCGTGCGAAAAGTGCTAGGTAAATAATATTTCTATGAATCGCCCTTTGCTTCGGAAGAAGCGAAAGGGGTCGGATCGTCAGGCTTCGTGCCACCTTCGCGTCACTGGTTCTTACGCAGTAGACGGTCCCAAAGACATTTTAATGCTCTGGCGTGCTGTTTTTAGCCAGTACGCTAAACGCTTGAAGCACGAACGCATTCTGACTCTGCGCGTCTGTTGGATTCGCCCGCCCGATCCGCCGGTTCTTCCGTCGATACTTGTCAAAACCTTTTCGCGGACGCACCTCTTTTGCCGATGCAGGGTCGCAACTGTGAAGCAATACTCAAACGATTCTAGCAATTCCAATAGTCTCATCTATAATCTACATATATAGAGGTCGCGTGACTTAACATCCAACTGTCATAACAATTTCACCTGTTTGCAGAACAAACTTATAGGCGGGGATTGTTCCATCACCATTTGGCACTATGAGAGTAAATAGAAAGAAGATAAAGAAGAGGTTCGTTTTGATAGACTAACTTTTTGAATCAACAATCCATCTATTACTTATAGTGATTTTTATTGTTCAGCTTGTCCACTCCTCACGCCGCCATGAGACGGGAGGGATCCGCGATGGTATACAAATGGGACGTAATCGTCAGGCCGAGAGCGAAGTGAGAATTTAATTCCTGTGGGCTATGTTATCGAATATTTTCGTTGGAAGATCGCGAATTTCCCGACAATTTCATTATAACCTGGCCCGCACTTTGATCTCTAATTAACATAAATAAAAAATTTTTTATTTTGAAAGTTCAACGTTCTCACGCATATGTGTGAAGTATCTCGATGTTATACGCTGGACACATCGGCTCTTTCTAGCAAATGAGATACTCATTGATCTGAAAGTACTCGAAACTCACATCGACAAAGCGTGGCTGCGTAATTTGATCCGACATGACGTTGGAAGCGTTTTCGTGAATATTTCCCTCTGAAGAATTGTTGTCTTTGTCTTTTACTGAGCGAGCGGTTACAGTTTTTTCTTTTCAGCATATAATTGGGAAGTGCAGCTTCCTGCACAACTAACGAAACACGAAAATTTTCCTTGTCTATCAAAGGTAATTATGTTTGAGATTCTGATTATTGGCCTACATTAAGCAAGTTAAGCAGACCATTAACAAATACTGAAGAAATTCGTAAAACACTATTGAAGAACAAAAAAAAAAACTCCACGTCCTAATGTACTTCACAAAGACCATTCAACAACTAACCTTAAAAAACAGAAAATACAGTGGAAATTAAGGAGAAAATGGCTAAAATAGGTGGAAACAGCCGATCGCCGCGCTCGTGACGCGCGCGCAGGCCACGTCGCGATCCTGCCGCCGCTTCCAAGTCCTCCGCATGAAGAGTGGTAGTCTCATGCTTTGTTCTGTTTTTGCTCATTCCGTTATCAGGTTAACATCCCCAGGGTGCGAACGATATTTTGAGTAGCGCCGAAATGGGCGTTGCACGCAGGTGATGTACGCAACATTCCTAATAGGACCTAAGGCACTTGACGTGGCAGTCTTGCGACGCGTCGCTCTCGACTCTTTCTGTGTTCCCAGTTAACCCCTGCGTACAGCGGCGTTTTTTCGCTAAGGCTGTGCGACGGAGCACATTATTATGACGAGCGCTCGCGCGCGCACGAGTATAAAACAAATTGTGTAAATATATAACTATGTTTAATAAAATTATTATCTACCTTCGCATTATACACCACTTTTATGTGCATCGGTATGATAAGTAGAACTGAACCCTATTACGTGTTCAAAAAGATGAGTCGAAAAAATGCAGCAATTGCTAAAAAGGCTCTATTAAATCACGAAATTTGGGTAAAGGCTAGGCAGTCATTCCAACTATGTTCAGATTATTCTGTTTGCGACCTTATCAGTGGGAACAGCTTTGGGTTTGGCTTTACTAGTTTTACAAGAAAAAAAAGCAAAGGATTATAGCAGGGAAAATTTCCATAAAAATGTAGTGATTATTTACTCTGATGGATCCTGCAAATTTCCCCTTTTCATCATCTTTTTTTTCCAAAGGCTTCAGAAATATACCGACCCACTTGATTCATGGACCAATGCTAAATAAGTGTAAACGAAGCGTGCTGCACCATGTGCAGCAACGGGATACAGAGACAAACGAGGCGTGAATGCACATGGTGCAGCACGGCGTAGACGCCAATGGATTACTGGGTCTACGGAGAAACGGAATTCATCCTTTGATCACGGTGACCTATCTCTTTTTTTTCTTGGTACTGTTCGTCTTATTTCTTATGACTTGATGTTCTATGACCGGTGTCCTCACGGAACGTTATCGTTTTCATGCATGATGGTGTTCACCCACCTCAGGGTCCCCTTCCTTTGAAAGCCTACACCTGACTCACCAAATGTTTTTTTTTACACTTCTCGGTACTTTGATAGCTGCTGCCTTCTGCCTGATCGTGCGGTTATACAAAGGTCTCACTTGTCACCAGCGCAAATCATTGGTTGGGGATTTTCGTCGAGTCCGTACCCCCTCCCTTTTTTTGGGAGTTGGTACGACCCCTCCTCTGGCCCTCTGCCCTCCTCGTCGAGCTGTCGAGCGAGGGGGGTATATAGGTGTATAGGTATATAGTACACATGAAACAGGAAAATCACAGTCAACCACCTCTCCCAGAAGGCCAGAAAGCAAATACGACCCCCCCTCCCAACAACGAGCAAGTACGACCCCCTCCCCCTTTACAACGTCCGTGAAGCGAGAAAAATCAACTATCAAAATAAATTTTTCTCAGCCCAAATACGACCCCCCCCTCTCCTGGCGACCAAATACGACCCCTATTGGGGATTCCCCAACAACGATGTGCCCTGGTTGTCACGTTGCCGTCGACTGGTTCCTGTGTCTGTGTGGTTACATGACAACTAGGACTTTCAGTGGGGTCTGGCGCGAAAGGCCAGAGTGCAGGGGAACAGAGCACTGCGGCTGCCAAGGCATCGAAAGGTGCAAAAACGTGTCGTGAGCCGAGGGATGAGCTTGTTCAGAGGGAGGGAACACCAGGTCGTGGAGCGACATACCATGCATGAAAGTTAAAATTTGCAAGGTCACAGAGTGTCATGCAGACGTGAGAACGCAGAGAAAGCAAAGTTAACTCAATCAAAGGGATTGAAATCTAGTTGTCCGTAGACCGTCTGCATCGGCATGGTCAACTAGCTGGGAGGTGCTCTGCTAGTGTGCGCGATGCCGCGACTCGGAAGTAACGCTATTCATTCAGGCTATCAGCGCAAGTCATGTTATTAGTGAAGAGCTGAGAAGCGTGATGAAATTCCGCGAATTCTTTCATCTCAAAATAGAGTTGAGGATGGCTGTTCAGGTGCGGTGGAATGATGACATCTCGGATGGCTTCCGCCGTTCTTCTCATTGGTGGCTGTACTCAGAGAGAAGAGGGTGGCGCTCTGCGTTCAGTTGAAGAGTTAAGCTTTCAACAAACTGCCAACGGTGTAGACGTGGCTTCGCGTATCGTTGGCGAACTACAGGAAGCTCGAAGGAGTCCTGCTGTTTTCGCTGAAAACGATGGATTCCTTGTCATAGGAGGTTTGTGGATTCCATCTCCTCAACAGTCCGTGTGTTGGAAACAATCAGAAAAAGCAAAAAAAAGTCCGTGTAGACAAATTCGAGAGAGGTACAATTTACAGGGCGTTTGAAAATGGTCTTATTTTAATCAAGCCGTTTAAAGTGCAGTTTAGCTTGGGTGGGGCATCTTGCCTGTTCCCATCGATGCCTCTCTTGGAGATCTACAAACTCTTGTTAAGCAGTGCAACACCACAAGCCTCCTTTACTTTTGACAGGTATCTGTGGCTCTGTGTGAGTTGATAAGAGTTGACAGGAACTAGTAAGAGAAACTAGCAAACTATCAAGATGGCCCCCTCACTCAACGGAACAGCGCACCGTTTCACTTGGGGCTGGCGTTGTTCAACATCTCTAGCACAACTAGATTTCGAAGCCCGTTGCACCACACATACTCTTCAAATCCCTGGGATGGGGTAGGACGGCTGCGTTCTTCAACCAAGCGTGGCGGTGGTTGTGCTTCTGGAGAGATGTTTCCATTTTGACACAATTGTGGTCGTGTCTCCATCGAACACAGAACAAGATGACAGTTGTCTTAAACTCAAATATCCCACGAGTGACCCATTCTGTGCCATGTTCCAGTGCCACGCCTACTCCGTCTTGGGATAAGATGACCCCCCCCCCTACCTGAATTAGGGCCTTGAATACGACCCCCTCCAGTGAGAGTGCGACCCCTCCATGATGTTTTAAATAGAACGATTGCTGTACCCTGTCAGACGATGAACGGCAAGAATGTTATACACTCTTGTTCGCTACGGATGAAGGGAAGTATCAGTGAGGCAGGATTTGGTGTGCCGCCAGCCCGGCCTCAAACTTATTGGAGGCGGGCAAGCGATGAGTAATTGGTAGAAAAGACTAGCGTAGCGAGATGATACAGTTTTGTCGCTTGCTGCATAGGCAAAAGCGGGACTGACAACCGTGCATTCGCTGCGATATTCCCACCTTTTTCAACTCTTCAAGCTTCGAAAGTGGAAGGTGAGTTATTTTGAGCAATTTTAAATTGTACTGACTCTGAATGAATCTGAAAGAATGCAAGCCATTTGAATAAATGCCTGAAATAAGGCAAAATACAAGGAAAAGAGCATAATAATCGACATAAAAATAAAGGAAATCAGAGCCAGTACAATTCAAAATTGTTCAGAATAACTCACCTTCCACTTTAGAAGCTTGAAGAGCTGAAAAAGTAGGAATTTGCAGCCGAATTCCATCGAAATCAGCTGATTCACCGTCACCGAGCCGACAGTCCGTAATGATGGGGACTGTATGCTGACCCTGAGGTGGTGAACGATTGTAAATTATATTCCAGGATGTCAGAGGAAAGGTGTTCATGCAAGAAGTGCCGAACGCATTCGATGGAGCCGGAATTCTCTGGAGAGCAACGGTTCCTTATTCCAGAACGTCGTCGAAGCGCAAAGCTGTGCTGTTTCTCTCAAATTGGAAGTATGCATTCTTCTCTCCATTTTTGTAAGGACTCAGCTTTGCTTCCGCTTTTTTGTCCTTTTTATAGAATTTTGCTCGTGACTTATCAGCTGACAGAACACAGCTACAGTCCATATCTCGGCGTTTAAGGAGGAGTATCTGCGAGCATGGTTATGAGTGCGGCGGCGGTAGGCAGTGGTCGATTCAAGCGGGAAGAGCGAGCAAGACCGACTTTTTCTTGTGCTGTCTGCGCCTCTGAATGAAACAACAATTCATTATCACTATTCACTTGCACTGCGCTCGCAGCTCACCATCAGTCCCTAGGCACTCCTCGTTCATGCCCAAGAGTGCTGTTGAAGAAGGTCTCCTTCGTGATTATGCTCACCTCTAGGTAGCAGTATACCCCTTTGAGCTTTTCTCAAATGTAAGGTTCAGCGTTACCCATTTCCTTCCCGAAAACCTCGACTTCTTTTCAGAGTAATATAGGTGTTCTAGGACGAACAATGACTCGATGCTGTTATGTCTCACGTTCATCGACTTGAAGAAAGCCTTCGACTCCGTTGAGACAGAAGCGGTTATCCAAGGCAACCAGGGTATTCCTACTCAGTACATCAGGATTCTTCGTGAGCTCTACAGCAACTTCACGACCAAGATCTCACCATTCTACAAGGAGATCATCATCGATGTGAAGAGAGGGGTCCGACAGGGCGACACCATCTCGCCCAAGCTCTTCAGCGCCTCTCTCGAGAACGTCATGCGTCAACTGGAATGGGAAGACATGGGAGTGAAGATCGACGGTCGGCAACTACACCATCTCCGCTTTGCTGACATCGTTTTGATGATTAAGCAAGCGGAACGAAAGCTGGCTGATTTCGACTGCGCGTGTGGAAAAATTAGTCTATAGCTGAATCTAACGAAGTCGATGTTCATGAGGAACGGATTGGTTTCTGATGCCCCATTCACGCTCAACGGAACGACCATCTCTGAATGCTCTAGCTATGTGTACCTGGGTCGTGAAATCAATATGATGAACGACTCAGCACCAGAGCTGAGCAGGAGGAAGGGAACGGCCTCTGTGCCCACCTCTTCGATTTCGCGGTCCTTCCTGCTTTGACTTACGCCCAGAGACTTGGACTCTACGAAAGCAGGATGAGCATGCGGTTGGCGTTATTCAACGCGCCATCGAAAGGGCGATGCTCGGAGTTTCCGCTACACGCAAGTGAGAGGGAATCCGGAGCTCCGCACTCCGCCGACGATCGAAGATCAGAGACGCCGCCGCATTTGCCAAGGTTTCGAAGATCAGGTGGGCCGGACACGTCATGCGTTTCGAGGACGACCGCTGGACCAGAGCGATTACCGACTGGATTCCACGGGATGTCAAGCGAACGCCTGGACGACCGCCTACGCGATGGTCAGACTTCTTCGTGAAAGCTCTGAACGAATGGTATGAAGTTCATCGTGTCCCTCGAGCAGAGAGAGTCCATTGGGCAACTCTTGCACGTTGCAGGGACGAATGGAGACGTTACTGGCGCCCGCTCGAGGAACTCGATGATCAACGGGAGCACAGGTGATACAGGTGATACGCCTTAACTAGCTCCACTCCACTGGCTCATGAAGCATGGAAACCAGGCTCAACTAACACGTTCCTCTGTTGTCGAGTGCTCGGCCGCCTCTAGTGTTGCATGTCATGAGAAGTTCAGTAGTCGTAGATTGCGAGCCTAGCCACCGTCGGTTCTCTACTAAAACGAAAGGAATAGTCAGTATCTGCATCTCACGATATGCAAAGAGTGTACTGAAAAACAGGGTTCGGGCATATAAAAGTTCATTTCGCTCGGCGTAACCCTCATAAACCAGTTGTTGTTAGGTCGGGAGGCTCATGAGCAACGGCCGGAATGTCACGTGCCCGAACATATAGTCCTCATCATTGCAGACCGGTGGGGCGGGTGAGCCGCGCCGCGTGTGACGCGGCTGTGACTACGGCTCATTGACAGTCGCGTCACAGCCGCGTCACCCGCAGCGCGGCTCACCCGCCCCACCGGTCTGCAATGATGAGGACTGTATAGTGTAGTTCATTGCGGACGGTTGGGCGTGTTCGTGCGGCTGCGTTTGGCGCGGTGCCAAACTCGTTCTCCACGAGTTGTTCAAGCGAGCAAATGACAATACTGTATCATACCTTTCGTATTACTTGTTTTCTACTGCTTTTTGTCGCATGCCCGTTTCAACAAGAAGGCAGAGAACAGCTCAATGAGAGGGTGACACACTGGCTTAACACGCCCAACGTCCGCAGCGAAGTTAGAGTGTATTTTTATTGACGGGGTAAATGAATAGAGTGAATACTCATTTCGGACACTAATCCCCAGAGTCCACCGAGCCGCGACAGCCCAGGACCCTTGATGACGAAATTGACTGTCAGGACAGAGTCACGAGTAGGAAATCATGGACCATAGCAGAATTGTTCGGAAACCCGGACGGCCAGAGGTTTTCAGTGTCAGTGCAGTCTTCGGGAATTTGCACTGGAGAGAGTCATTCCTGAAAACTGGCTGCTCTGGGCTTCAGGTCTGACAAATTAGCAGCTATCCGAGCGGTCCTCAGCTTGACGGCGTTGATAAGTGGCTTCACTTTCTCGCAAAGTTGAAACAGTGGCGGGAGGCCTACCCCTGCTCATGTGTGAACATCTGAGTAGTAATGTTTCTCGAGTCTACGGGTACCTCTTCATTCCGTGGGAAAAAAGAAACTTGAATTTCGTCACTGGGCATCACGAGCTAAATGCTTTTTTGCCTGCTCCTAAAGGAAACGATCTGTTGCCGGCGAAGTAAAAAAAGGCTTCTGAAGGGTCACAAGCAGCTACGTGATGCCAATATTGACTGTATATTCACCTCCAAAGGCGGTCCTTGCCATTTGCGAGGTGAATGGATCCGCAACTGCAGTTGCGTGCCACTTTTCGTGCTTCAAAGTGCACTGGAACTGGGCTGGAGGGCGGTTACAGGAGGTGCCATCTCCCGATTCCGCTGCACTATCCCATGAGGCAGCACTTGCGTCAATAGCAGAACCCCCAGCGAACATGTGATCAGAGTTAGGGAAGAAGCAGACGTGAGACAGGCAAGAACTAGGCACAGACAGCAAGCGAGTTTGATTATGACTAGGCGGGTATCTGGCCGTCTGGCAGCGTGGGAGGAGTATGGAGACGGCACTCAGGTATCACTACCCTCCGGAACCGTTCTCATGCACTGTTGACCGGGTAAGTGGCACGCTGTGCTAGTGCTACA